GTATTTAAATTGTGAACAAATTATATACAGAAAGCGATCAAAGAACAATCTTTCCACACAGCGCGAGTTTATCTGGACACTTGCCAAACTCGTTATGAAATCAATGACGCACGTTACTGCACAACGAAGCTCTTACTGTATTTACATCATCGTGTTTGCATTGGTGAAAGCAGAGAGTGCAGAAACTGCTTTGCAATGATAAGATCTTCATTCTCGCGATCAACACTGTCATCTGCTCAATGCTCATCACGGCAACATTTTATGTGATGGGAATAGATCTAAATACTTTAAAAACATCTCACGATTCGTTAATCTCGATAGCTGTTATAGTAAAAACGTATAATAGCAGTAGTAAAAGTATTCGGGAGAGAGTTTCACATGTAATGCGTTGCTATTTCATATGCAAGCATGTCAGCCAATCACAGCAGTGGCCTCGGTTACACTGAATCCCACAGCAGACACGCCCCTTCAAACAGAGTGTTCAAATCAGAGGCTAAAAGCAGGCTAGGAAAAATGCCATTTATTTCTAAATTATGATTATTTTTTATCTAAAAAACATACTTACATTATAAGGGTAACCCAGGGAACATTATAAAATAATAAAAAAAAACATTCTAGGGCACCTTTAAATGATTAATCAATTAATCATTAAAGGACAAGTTCGGTATTTTACACTTAAAGCCCTGTTTCAAGATCGTTTCTGATGAAATAGAACGGTTAAGATTAAAATTTAGACAGATGCTGCTGTCCCGAGAAATTTCGGTTTCTGTGGTTGCACCTCCCCCACCTCTACAATGGTTGCATAGGTGCACAGAAACAATCCTTCCTAAAACGCATTAAACTTTAGTTTACAAAGACGTGAAACTCACCGAGTGGTCAGGGGTGTTCACTGATATGCTCACACAAAAATCGCTGCAAAATATGCTTTACAACAGGTTTTATCGTAGTTTTTGAACAACTCCATTTGACTTGACGTGGACAAAAACTACGATAAAACCTGTTGTAAAGCATATTTTGCAGCGATTTTTGTGTGAGCATATCAGTGAACACCCCTGACCACTCGGTGAGTTTCACGTCTTTTCAAACCGAAATTTCTCGGGACAGCCGCATCTGTCTAAATTTTAATCTTAACCGTTCTATTTCATCAGAAACGATCTTGAAACAGGGTTCAATACCGAACTTTAAGTGTAAAATACCGAACCTGTCCTTTAGCCTTAATAATCCAAGGGTACGTTTACACGACAACGATATGCTTAAAACAGAGAAGTTTTTCCTTTGAGTTTTCCGCGTACAGACGACACCATTGTTAAAATGATCCCCGTTCACACGGATCCGCGAAAACGACTAAAAACGCTGTATTCTGCTGCCAGGCCAGTAGATGGCGATGAAACACTATAGACTGAACATGTAACACGCATTTGCATGACGTCATCGTCTTCAGTTTTTCACGTTTTTGTTGTTTACACAGAGACTTGCACTTTGAACCCGATTTCAAAAGTTTGCGTATTCAGGCACCCAAAACACCGCTGTCGTGTAAACGAACGGCCAAAGCGCATAAAAAGTTTTACGTTTTTAGTTGAAAACAGTGTCCTTCAGTGGCATATAGTCACCAGTATGACCAGATGTGCAAATGGCACTCAAAACGCCAGCTTCCTCACTTTTAATATTTATATTTTTACCACAATAAAATTAAGCGAGTGTGCCTAGTTACGTTTGGGATCATTTTACTTTAAACAGCGATAATTGCATACATTGCTAAAACAAGATTATTGTTGGCTTTATAGTTTCATATCCCGTCACGGAGACCGCTGAATGCGCCGTATTGTATTTTAAAATACAATCACAATGTTTGCTAGTAACATTATCACCATTTAAAGTAAAATGATACCAAATGTAATTGAGGCGCATATATAACCACTTTTTTGCGCATATAAATGTTTTTAGAGATGAATATTAGGACAGGAGTGAAGTACAAAGCTTTGTTTACAAAATAAATAATTGGTTAGCAGGCAAATGTTACATCGCGAACAAGGAAACATTTTGACTTACGCCGAATAAGAGAGGTATGTGAGCCCATACATTTAAATTAAGCCATAAACGGCTTTGTGTTCTGTTTTTGGTTGGTCACTTAAATTTCCACAAATTTTACAATATTTTCTGAGGTATTTCACTGAATATGGAACCTCTTGTTTCTTTTCCCAAATCCTCAGCATTTCGCCCTATATTTTCGCTTATTTTCTTCCTGTCATTCACTTTCAATCCATATTTTCATATCTTTTACTGTGGTAAAAAAAAAGGCTGTGTAGACCATATACTTCTTTACTTGCCAAAACAACAAATAGCATTGTTAGCCTAAACTAACCTAACTATTTTATATAAATAGCCAATCTTATCTAATGGGTTTCAGTCTTTATCTCTCCTCACATTCAATTTTAACACAGTTTGTGCTTGCTAGACAAGGCAAGGCATGTCAAGTGTATTTGTATAGTACGGTACCATGGACATGATATACCGGGGAGATGAAAAATATTGTGGCCACAAATTAAGAATTCGTTCCCACGACGTATCAATTAGTTCCCTCGTTTTAGTTAAATCATGGCCACATTTGACTAATGTGTTCCTTAGTTTTAATTTAAAGGTGCAATAGGTGATCTGGGAAATGCTAACTTTAGCCTGCTAGCATTGAAAACACTGTCCAAAGACACGCCTCCTCGCGAGACGACCAGACACAACGTTATTGGATTACATCATGTGTCATTCACTGGTGATAAAACTTTACAGTACAGCGAGTTACAGTTAGGGCTGCACGATATTGAAGAAAAGAGCGATAACTCATAAATAATGCGGTATTCGATATGCGATAATGCTTAAAAAGTGAGTAAAATAAACTTAAATTATCTTTAAAATATCTTTAAAATCTTATAACCTACATACGTGTTCACATTCACATTCATTCACATACAAGTTTCCCATTTTTTTTGTGACAAGAAAACATCCTTACAACTTCTGAAAGTGAACAGCAGTGTTTTACTGTAACATAAGAAGTGTTATTTTGACATCAGTGTAAACCACGACAGAAACTGAATAATCAATTGTAAAAATTGATTATTGATCACTGCTTAGTTTTCACTGTGTGAATTAAATATATACTGATTCTTATTAAAGCTACATAAGAATACAAGTTATTTAGCCAAGAGCAGTGGGTGATTTTCTCTTTCTCTTTTGTTCATGATCGCGATATACACATTTGCGATATTTCGATATATTGTGCAGCCCTAGTAACAGTTTGTCTGCCATTCTCGCTCTGTCTGACGTATGATGTCTGCGTGAACAGGCTGTGCATTGGTACGAACACACGTTGACTGATAGGGTACACATGCTATCATTTCATTCAGAAAAATGCAACGATTGAACAAACATTTTATGGTCCTACGCCTTCCACAGATCATAATATAAAAGTCTTGCTCGTGCGGAAGATATAATTTACTTTTCTCTCCATTTACAAACAGGTTTCAGTTGCTTTGAAATATTGGGCAAAAACATTCATGTATGAGACAAGAAATGGGCTCTGTCCTCTTGTGTCCCAAAACCCTTTCAAAGCGCAGAGCCCAATATATGATGAAATAGTTATTTTTGTGGGGTTTAAATATAATTAAACTTGACATGCTTACTAAATTTCGCTTGCTTTCCATGTTCAAAGACTACTTTTATATTGTTTAAATTTGAATGCACTTTTAAAGTAAAATTATTAAATTATCGACAAATAATCGATCATCGATTAATCGTTAGCATCCCTACTCTGAATAGAAAAAGAGGTTTAAGAAAGAAAACAACCCTGCTTTCTCATTCACATTATTCAGCCATTAACAATCCAATGCTACTGCTAATCATATAAAACGCATCAGCCATTACTTGGCTATCGAGCGGATCTCTGGGCCGTCTCCATCCATTAATGCAGAGTAGGCTACCTCATGATAGAGTGTCATGTGTCCTCTCTCCCTCCTTGTACAGTGGAAACGTAATTATAGCCTTTTTCCAAGAAACTGTTTTGACGTCCAAACCAAATTCTTTGAATCTGGAAAGATGGCACTTCATATCGGAATGGACATTTGTTGTTGGTCAGATTAAGTAAAGTATGTACTAATTTAATGCTAAAAACTGTGAACAGCATAGTCCAAAAAATGCTTGACAAGCCTGTTGGAGACATGATGCATTGAGCTGTGGAGCTCATTAGGATGACTAGATTTTGAGTCTGGCTTGCAACATGTACTATCTCTATCCTCTTGCTCCAATCATTACCTGTGGCCCCTGCAGTGCAAACTTAATCCAAATACAAAGGAGATGTTTAGATTAAAGATGGGGTCGCATTATCAAAATCAAAGCAATGAATGAAGCACAGCTCACATGCAGTCATTTTCAAACCGACCAGCTTTCTGTTCATAAACGTAGCAAATTCATTTGACCAACTTGAACCCTTCGCGAAATCTGCGTGTGGAAATCTTTCGCCCTCACACGAAATTCCTGATCGCGTGGATTCCTATTAAAATGACTGGACTTTACAACAGTAAATGTGAATGCACATTTAGATCCATATTCAGATTTTATTCTGAGATATTGCTACCGCAATATTTCTGCATACGTGTAATACGCCTATTATGAATACACAAAGACATGTACAATACATTCTTTAACTGGTAACCTCATCTAAAAATACTGGAGATGCTTTTGCCATTTATTACAATGAACTTTAGCCATTTCTGACGGTATTTTAATCATCCCAGTTATTCTCAAGCAAAAATCAAAAGTCCAACAGCTTTGAAAAGTAATATCACATCTCTCCTCAACAAGGTATAAGCCTACTCAAGGTTAGAGGTATAAAAATCATTTGGATTAATTATTCATAATGGAGAAGATGCATTAGAGTCAAACCTTTGCTTTGCCTCATTTGATGAGATGAGCCTCTGGTGCAATGAAAAGGAGGATGGGAGCTGTATGCCTACCTTAGTGATAAGTGTACGGTACTCCTCCACCAGATGGTCATTGTTATGACATCCAGCCAGTAGCTGCCACACTTCCCCTCTCAAGGCCTCCGGGACACCACTGCGGACCAGCGCCGGCAGCTGTTTGGGTCGCACAGCCAAGTTCAGATGCCTGATCAAACATTACAAAACCAACAGGGACTCATGGTTACAAATTAAGTACAACACTTACATTTTAAGACAGTCCATTTTGTGTCTGCACTGTGAAACAATGAGGGTATTTTGTGTGTGTTTGTGACCTTGTAACTTCGTATTAACCCACAATGGGCCTCATTTCAATCAAATCTGGTCTCTGACAGATCGTGTGCGCAAGTTTTTGAGTTGCCGTGAACTTGCGTGCAGCATTGTAAATCTGGTGGAGAATTGTAATGAGAGCATTTTGTTCATTTACATCATTTTCCTGACCGAGTCCGACAGCCGAAGCTCATTAACCGATTATTAACCATTAAACAACTAGATTAGTGTTTGTAAATATTTAGTTTTATTTATCGGTATTTATTATACATATAAATGAATTGAATTGTTTGCAATTATGAGGTTAACAGGTGTTTTTGGAGTAAGACCAGTTTCTCTTTCATGAGATTACTTCCTCTTCTTGGTCGCGTTACGTTTCTGGGGCGAGGCTTCAAAAACGAGAGTTTTTAGGGGCGTGATATTTAAATGACGATTGTTTTCAGCCGCCACATTTATCAACGTATGATCATTCGTACGGTGGGATTGGCGGCATACAACCGTTTCATGAATCACACGTGTCGTATATTCTGATGTTTTTGTCCATGCAATGAAAGTCATTGGGGTCCAAAACAACATTTTCATGAATAGTGACCCATTTATACTGTTTGAGAAAACTATTAAGCAGAATATTACACTAATGTTCAAAGGTTTGGGGTTTCTAAGACTTAATTGAAGATTGAATGTTTTTGAAAGAAGTCTCTTACACTCACCAAGGCATTTATTTAACCAAAAATACAGTAAAAACTGTCAATATTAATGCATGGAGACTTATATAAAGTATGAATTAGTGATACTCGTTCTGCCACACAGACAGGAGTGACATTCTGATGTGTAATTTATTCCATATAGGACCTTTTACTAAAGATATGCTTATTTAAGACCATGTTAACCTGCTAGAGGCACAGTCTCTGAATGTGGTCTGCATGTGTACCAGCATTTATTTGTATTTGTTTATGGAATGTCTTAAATGTCGCTGGTGCCCATTTTCCTTGCTGATTAAAAGGAAAGTGCATACTTTTGTGTTGTAGTGTGCACAAACCTTCCCTCAGGGATTTTTACGACTGATTTTACTCTGCCAATCACTCAAAACTGACAAACTCAATTGGGATTATAACTGCAAACTGTTTCCTCTAATAAGAACTTTGTTCAGTGCAACACATTGTTTTATTTATGAAATGTCGTTATACTGTCATAAGCGTGAGACACGTGTTGTGCAAATACAAAATCAGAAGAACAGTGTTTTTTTGTTGTTGTGGGAAATAGCAAATGTGTTTATTAATGCGATATACTAGAGGCCCTTAAACCAAATGTTCTCGAACCGGGTATTTAATGTATTTAACATTAATCGACCAACCAAAACGTTTTATGCCACAAATTTGATGAAAGGCATCCGTACATTTTCATGCATAGTGACCCATTTTTAAGCAGATTCGGAAAGTTTGAAGATTTTTTAAACGTTTTTTCTAAGAAGTCTCTGCTCACCAAGCCTGCATTTATTTCACTAAATAACTTTTCTTAATATAATTTAAAATGTCATTTATTTCTATGATTTTTCAGCAGCCATTACTCCAGTCTTCAATGTTAAGTTAAGTTGACAGCTTATCGTTATTATAAATACTAAACTTAGATAGATAAATCAGAATAAAAAACATTTTCAAATTAAATGTATTTATTGACTATAAAAATACATAACATTATAAATGTATATAAATATTACTAAATATTTAACAAGAATATTGTTCCAAAGCAGTAAGGCAAGGCAAGATTATTTATATAGCACATTTCATACACTATGGCAATTCAAAGTGCTTTACACAGAAAGGAATTAAAATAATCACAGTAAGTGTTTTTAAAATATATATTGTAAGCATATGTATTAAAACTTTTAATATCGTAACTCTCGATCACTCCCATTGTGGACCCGAAGCATGACTCACATTTTATTTACACTGACAGTAGTTTTCATATTTACAGACCATTTTCCAAACTAGAGAAGTTTAAAGTTAAAATTGTTTGAAAAATACAAGGGTGATCAATACACCCAATTATTTTAGTCAATTAAATTTAAAGGGGTCATGACATCAACATTGCCTTGATCTTTTGACATATAAGAGGTCTTTGTACCATAAGAACATCCTACAAGCTAAAAACATCTTTATTATAAACAAAGCATTTATTTAATCAAGCTCCAAAAATAGCTTGTTTTGATATTGAGATATCCGTGACATCACACGGGCAAATACATTTGCATATGACCGCCTCCAGAGCAAGACGTTGACGAATCATACATCACACCATAAGCCCCGCCCACTGTTGCTTAACCGCTGACGTTTGCCTAAACCGGACGTGAGCGTCACGTCAAAAGCAAATAGAGCCATTATATTAACTGACGCTGTCTACACTGGATAGAGTATACAGATGCGTGTTCAGTTTCTGATGGACTTCACACACGTGAGTCTGCCGACAACAGGACAAATGGAAGAGTGAAAGAACAATTGCTTTGACGCGTCCAGTTTAAACAGCTTGTTTGTGTCTCTGTACAGACTCGAGAAGGATCCCAGAGTCGGAGACAAGTGTATTGTTTATTTTAATTGCGTCTCGGATCGTGTCGAAGGATTATATGTTTGTTCAGAGCATTTTCTTTTGTAAACGAGGCACAGTGTAATGGAGAGTTCGCAAAGAAGCTTTAGTTGAAAGATGAAGCAGCAACTGTATTGAATCTGATAGCAGCTGCATCACAAACCATAAGCAGATGATTTCATAATGCTTTGTCTGTAAATTATGGTTTTATATGGATAATGTTTTCAAAACTCTCACTCGCGTTCAATAGCGAGTGTGCGTTGATACTGTTTTCTGTGCAATGACGTCAAAATGAAGGTTGAAAATAATTGTTTTTCCACATATATATAAAAAACTTCATTAATAACATTATAAGTGAACATCAAGGAACATATTAAAAGGATTAAAAAGCCATGTCATGAGCCCTTTAACAACAGAATGATTGTAAATCTCAGCTTCCAAACAAGGAAAGCCAAGGGCTGAAAGAGGAGGGAAATTAGGGACTAGATGCAGATGTGAGCACAACACACACAAAGAGACAGCTGTGTTCTTCAGGGTGCAGAGACAGTCGCAAGCCTGTAATTAAATTCCTGGGGTTTTTAATTGAATTCATCTCGAGGTTTTGATTAACAACAATAAGAGTAATGGGAGCGGGAAATAATCTTAATAAGACCCTTATCTGTATTTGACCATTCCCCTCATCCCCCAGTCTCTTCTAGTGCTCTACATTAAAATATCTCTCTCATTTCCCTCCCATGAATGACTTCTTAAATTAGAAATGGTGTGTGTGTGCATGAAGAGATATTTTTTATGGTTGGAGATGAAAAAAAAAAAGATTGTGTGGGACTGGAGCTCTTGATTTTCGGCCTGTTTTCTAGCGCTTCTCTGCATGGAAGGCATACGGCAGCAGTTCAACGCTGTCAGGAAGAAAGAGGCGGACAAGACTAATCTAAATGTGCATATGCTAATGTGCAACTATTAATCTCTGCAAGAATCTGTACACGCTTTGTATCCGTGCCACGGCTCTTAAACAACAGCATTGTGGCTCAAAGAATACATTTTCCAGCATAAATTTAGACCTGTGGCTTGACGGAAATTAACACCTTACAAAATGCAAGTAAATAAAAAATAGATGCACTACTTTTTACAAAAAATTTTGGAGGGGGGCAATATTTTTATTCAGAAAAGTGCATTAAGTTTATCAAAAGTGACAGTAAAGACATTTAAAATGTTACAAAAGATTTCTATTTCAAATAAATGCGGTTCTTCTGAACTTTGTTCATCAAAGAATATTGAGGGAAAAATGTATCATGGTTTTCACAAAAATCTGAAGCAGCACATCTGTTTTCAACATTGATAATAATCAGAAATGTTTCTTGAGCATCAAATCACCCTATTAGAATGATTTCTGAAGGATCATGTGACACTGAAGACTGGAGTAATGATGCTGAAAATTCAGCTTTGATCACAGGAATAAATTACATTTTAAAATAGAAAAGAGTTACTTTCAATTGTAATAATATTCACATTATTATGTTACTGTATTCTTGATCAAATATATACAGTCGTAGATCTTATCGAACCCCAAACTTTTGAACGGTAGAAATTTTTGCTAATGTATTAGTAAATGTTTAGATTAACAATAAATACGATTAATAAGCGCTGTAGAATCATTGCTAGTTCATGTTAACTAATGTTAACAATTGAAACCTTATTGTAAAGTGTTACCAATATGGTAATAATAAAAATGTTCTGTTGTAATTTCTTCACTTTCACACATTTCAACCCTGAGCCTTCATTTCCACTCGTTTTCAAAGCACTCACCATTTAGACAGTAAATCTCCCCAAGTTTCCAGAATTTTCTCGCCACATTCCTTAGACACGTCTCCAGATCCACTCAATAACGGCTCATCGTTATCTGTGAGGACAGTGGGAGAGAAAGAGACACGTTTCCGAGGTTCAGTACAATCTTCACACATGCTAAAGGATATGAATTCCCGGAGGACTCTTGAGGTTGTGAATGACAGCCGAGGGCCGCTCACCTTCCTCCTCATCATCCTCAGGAGGGGAGGGCACCGTAGAGCCGGCCGTCAGGATGCCGGGGCTCGCCGTGGTCTTCCTCCTCTCTCTCTCCGCCTCGCTCTCTAGACTCACCACTTCATACAGCGTGTCGGAGTTACTCTTCCTCTCCTTGTTCTCCATCTGAGAGCAGAGTGAAGGCACCGTTGCACACAAATCTTTTACAAACCAAAGTCTCCATATGCTCATTCGCACTATGTCCTTGTCTCAAAACCTAGTGCGCACGCAGTCCTCCTAAATGGCTCAAATTGTTGAAAGCAGAAATGTGGCATTTTGGCCAAAACTTGAGTTTGTTAGCTTAACTGTGTTTGGCAAACTCAGTGGGTTTTGTGACGCATGTTTTTGGGTTCTCCAGCAAAGAGCCCTGATCTGTGCTCGTCCTCACCTGTCTGAGTTTGAGATAGTAGGTCTCGGTGTAACTGCGTTTGCTGAAGGGCCAGAAGAGCCTCTCGTTGGGTGAGCAGACTCGAACCCGTGTCTCCAGCAGGAACCTCACGGGCTCCTCCACCTCTGTGATCACCAGGTCCACCGCCGTCGTCATGTACATGAACTTATCTGTGTGTCACACAAGTGAACCAACAGCAGGGGGTCATCAGTGTACTCGTATAAGATGAGTTCATGCATGATGTCATTCACAATCATTTCTTGAATTCCAATAAAGTTTGTCTAATAATACTACAAATTTGCATTGGTTGTATTTGTTATAAGATAAATTAAATAATAATAATTAAATTACAAAATTATTATTATTAAATAAAACTACTTTTTACGTGAAAAGAAACCTTCATGCATTTAATGCAGATCAAAGCACTTCAAACATCAGGAAAAAACGAATTGTTAAAATTCTTATTATTATCATTATATATTATTAATTACAACGACGATTTTTTTAATCAATGTATGAAAGGTGCTAAGTGTTTTTAATTATAAGCTGCTATACAAATAAGATATACATTTCGTTAAAAAAAATATTATTAAATATTATTATTATTATTATTAAATAAACTATTTTTTTAGTAGCACCTATCATACATCGAATACAGTTTAGAGTATTTCAAACCTTAGGGAAAAAAACTTTAGAAAATAACATTTAAAATGACAACATTTTAAAAAAATATATAAAAATAAGAAAAATAACTGAAAGGAGAATAAAGAATATTATAAAACAGGTAGTTCCGGTCCTTGATTCTGATTGGTTGAGCCGCGCTCGAACATAAACCTGTAAGGTATCCTGTATTGCTTTACTGTACAACAGTGCTCTAATCTGATTGGGCAGGCAGCGCTCTAAGAGTGTATGATTTTAAAATCTGAATGTTTGAAGCCCATCTAATTTCAGTAGGAATGTTCCTCATTTTTGGGGCTAAATGGCTAAATGCAACTTCTCCAGGTCACTTACGGTTTGAATCCCAATTTTCCAAAAACATCAGCATCAGAAGACCTCAAATATTGATTTGGAAGATAATCTCCTGCAAACTGAGCATGGGTCTGTACCTTTAGGCGTCTCCTCATTCACGGCCTGAAACTGAGGAGTGTTGGGATTCCAGCTCCCTGTGATGATGTAAGACTTCCCATCAGAACTCTTGCCCATTGATTCCTAACAGAGCGGAGGGCAGGTGAGGAGAGCCAAGAGAAAGAGAGGATAAAACAAAAATAAAGTCAAACATAATCATGAGTTCACAGAAAGCAGTCCCAGCCAAAATCCTAACTGCTGATCACTGGCAATGCCTACAGAACTAACATGATGGAGGACAACACTCCCAGACTCATGAGAACATCATCACATGGGCCAAGCAAAAGCTGTTTCACAACTGAAATGTTACACCGTTTAGTTGTAGCTATAGGACGCATTTCACCTAAAACATTTAGTCCCAAAGATTCGTTTGGCCTCTTGTCTCACATGTATCCTTGCTTGGTCACTGACCACAGGAAAAAATACACAGATTTCCAGAGAAATGGAATGTCTGTGATTCATACAATTTTACAAATCAAGAATTCTGCAGACTTTCCTAAAAAGTCAGTGAAGGATATGCAGGTAAAAGTCGACAGATTCGGTCAGGGCCTTGAAATTATGTAACCTGATACACTAATTTGGCCGCAGATACTGTAGATAGATAGATAGTTTTATTTAATGCCATGTCAGCATCTTAGGCAATTTTCATGGCAAAAATACAAATATCATATAAACACAATAAAACCAAGCAAACAAACACAATAAGTCATTTTATACCATTTTTCTTAATTAATTTGGCTGCAGACTTTAATTTCATTTTCTTTTCTAGAAGTGTATTAGTTACAAAAAACTAAGTCACATTTGGTAAAATTAATACAGAATTAATTTAGAATTTTGCTATTTTTAGCAACAATTTGTAATTTCAGATGTGTTAATTAACATTAAAATGTACTTTAACATGACAATTTACAAATTTAAAAGATAAATGGCTTTTCTAAAATCAATAATTTCCTTTAACAGCTATAATATTGCTAAAAAAAAAATTCTTCATTTTTACAGAAAAAAAAAATATTACTGTGAAAACCTGTTAATTGGTGGTTAGAGTAGCGTATACAAATGAAAAATAAATAAATAGATGAACATTGCATTATATGTAATTTTACTTAAAAAAATACTGTTTTTGCAAGTAATGTTTTGAATTACCATATCATTTACAGTTTAAAACAGTAAAAGGACATTACCAAAAGTCCACATATGATTATAATTTATGCAATTAGTTTTCTTGAATGCAAAGTACATTCAAATGTTTTGCTACATTTTCTGTTATTTTGTTTATTTTTACATTATTTTAGTGTCACGTGTGTAATTTGATCTACATTGCTTTATCCTAGATTTGAATCAAACTCTGATCACAGGGTTTCTCAACCGGTTTGCAAGACCTTTTTGAGTGGGTCATGGAGAATGTAGTCAAAGAATTACTGATGCGAGACTTTTATTTTGAAATACATGCGTGACAGCTGTTGACTCTTCTGTCAGACGCAGTTTAAGTAAAGATGGCCTGTCAGATGAGTTATTTTCAGGTTATATGTCAGTGTCATTATTTTACAGTATTTTTTTCGTAACTTCGCTCACCTCAGAAAAACTCAGAACAACTCCGCAAATGTAATTACTAGTTATGTTGTCAATTATTACAAAAAGTACGCAATCTCAGGATTGGATGGACCCAATATTTCCTATTTTTTTTAAGTGGAGTTAATCCAAAACTAGAGCTGAAGGTTTGTCTAACGCCACCTACCAGGTCGAGCAGGTGCATATCACTGTTCTTTACGTTCTTCCCCGGGCTCAAGAGCAGACCAAAACACCTGAAACACAAACACGTTCCTCACTGCAACAGAACCACAGAGGAACTCCACATATTAACTGTAAAGCTGCACAGTCGCACACCCATCTGAGTGCGCTGAGCTTCAGGACACATATATAAACAGAAAAGCACAGCTGTGCATTCAGGAAGGGTTGGCTTCAGTTCAACACAACATCAGTCACCATGGAGAAAAACCATCCTCCATTTTCTCATGGCCCGAAAGAACACTTGAGCTCAGAAAACACATAATTCAGTGCATGTTTATCATTAATAAATGAATTATTGGCTGTAACGGGAGACACGGGGCTCTTCTGGATGAGGATGTCCTCTCAGTGGAGAGAGCCTGTGTAAAGCACGTACCTCTCGATTGCCAACTCTTTGTTGGACGTCTGCTGAACGTAGATCACAATCTTCTTGTCCATGCCTGGCCGCAGTTTAAAGCTCTGTCTGTCCTTGTCCTTTGATACGGCACTGGTGGACACAAAGAAAGGTTTTAAATGCTCCCTAGGGTGAATCTTCCAGATTTCACCTCAAAATGAAAAGATTTAGATTTTGTTTTGATGACGCTTACGCATATTTTATCTGGAGAATTCACATTATTCTCAATGGTGATTCTCATCAGATGCTCATTACTGTTGTAAAACAAATTTTTTTTTTAATGAAATGATCATAAATTGAAGATAAAACCTTGTTGTTTTTGTTGTTGAAAATTATGTGACATTTTGGTCAAAAATTATGATTTGTTTAGGATAAATACGATTATAAAATTTGATTATTTTTAGTCAATTGCAGTTAAAAAGATTTTTCATGTCTCACCAAGGCTGCATTTATTTGACCAGAAGCTGCTTAACATTTTTATAGAAAACCGTGATACATTTTTAAATTTTCTGTGCCGAATAGAAATTCCAAAAGAACAGATTTGTTTTGTAATGTAAATGTCTTTACTGTCACTTCTGATCAATTTAATGTGTCCTTGCGGAAATAAAAGTTTGTTTTAATTAAAAAAAATCTAAATCTAAATGGCATTACATAATATATTTAGAATAGTCTTAGCAAAAGCGAAGACTAAAACTAAATCTTTGTAAAACTGAACGCGTCTCTTGCATCCCAATGGAGCGAAAGGACCTTTCAAGGTAATTCTGTCCATTTTTCCTGTTGTTGTTATCCAGAGTGACTTGCAGTCCATTTATAACAGGGACAGTCTCTCTGGAGCATCAAGCTCGTGCTGATGGAGACATTGAGGTTATTTTGGGCACTTTAGCCCTTTCTTTAAATACTTTTCTCTCTTTTTGCCTTTTCTGTGCAGCATTGAAAAAGCCAGTGTAAACACACTATACAGGCCTCTAAAATGTTTTCAAACTGCTCTATTTTTAATTTAACTGTAATATTATAATTAATATCCAAAATTATAATATTCCACACATAGGGATCTGTGTGTCAGTGCTTGTTACACTGAACAATGCTTCTTTACAGATACGTTGACAAGTCAAGAAAGGTGATGTTTCCTTTGAAGCGAGATCTTTCCACTGCAGGTCTGCAGCAAATCTGTGTTAATAGAACTCTGCGCAGGGCGGAGGAATGAGGCGAAGATGTAAGGGATGATAAATGACAGGAAGCGTGTGTCGACACTTCAGAGAAAGAGAAGAATAGGTGGAGGAACTGCAGATTTTTCTATTTTTACCATTTCCTTCATCAAAACAGGGCTGATTACTTCCGAAAGCTGGATAGCAGAAAATAACACCTAATTGAATTATGCAGTTAGAGACGAGACCTCCGGGGTTAAACACGGATATGTACTGGGAGGAATCTGGAGGCCTGAATTAACTTTAATGGAGGGAGAGAAGCAAGGCGATTCACCTAAACGTGCCCTTCCCATCATCCTCTTTGATCTCCAGACTGACGGTGAAGGTGAAGACATCGCTGTCTGGCGTAAGGGGCGGACCCTTGGCTGAGAGTGGCGCTTTATTGGCTGATCGGCGGAAAGCTGTGGCAAAGCTGTAGAGTATCCGGCTGACCTACAAACACACACACACACACCTCAGTGATTGGAGTCAAAACAGTCTCCAGTGACACAGGCTGTATTACAGTGACTCAGAGTCGCTCTGTTCTCAGGTTATCAACACACTCATTAACACACAAAGACAGAAATAATATCTTTCAGGATCAGTGTTCATATGTTTTGGGATATTGTTATGGGATACTGTGGGTTCCAAGGACAAATTAGTGGAGAACCACAGGACTAGTGTTTGCAGTGCTTCAGTGTGCTGAGAAGATGCTACAAAACTGAGAAGTTTTGCCTTTTAATTCATCACCTCCAACACAGCCATCAAATATGTGTGTACATACACTCACCTAAAGGATTATTAGGAACACCATACTAATACTGTGTTTGACCCCCTTTCGCCTTCAGAACTGCCTTAATTCTATGTGGCATTGATTCAACAAGGTGCTGAAAGCATTCTTTAGAAATGTTGGCCCATATTGATAGGATAGCATCTTGCAGTTGATGGAGATTTGTGGGATGCACATCCAGGGCACGCAGCTCCCGTTCCACCACATCCCAAAGATGCTCTATTGGGTTGAGATCTGGTGACTGTGGGGGCCATTTTAGTACAGTGAACTCATTGTCATGTTCAAGAAAACAATTTGAAATGATTCAAGCTTTGTGACATGGTGCATTATCCTGCTGGAAGTAGCCATCAGAGGATGGGTACATGGTGGCCATAAAGGGATGGACATGGTCAGAAACAATGCTCAGGTAGGCCGTGGCATTTAAACGATGACCAATTGGCACCAAGGGGCCTAAAGTGTGCCAAGAAAACATCCCCCACACCATTACACCACCACCACCAGCCTGCACAGTGGTAACAAGGCATGATGGATCCATGTTCTCATTCTGTTTACGCCAAATTCTGACTCTACCATCTGAATGTCTCAACAGAAATCGAGACTCATCAGACCAAGCAACATTTTTCCAGTCTTCAACTGTCCAATTTTGGTGAGCTATTGCAAATTGTAGCCTCTTTTTCCTATTTGTAGTGGAGATGAGTGGTACCCGGTGGGGTCTTCTGCTGTTGTAGCCCATCCGCCTCAAGGTTGTGCGTGTTGTGGCTTCACAAATGCTTTGCTGCATACCTCGGTTGTAACGAGTGGTTATTTCAGTCAAAGTTGCTCTTCTATCAGCTTGAATCAGTCGGCCCATTCTCCTCTGACCTCTAGCATCAACAAGGCATTTTCGCCCACAGGACTGCCGCATACTGGATGTTTTTCCCTTTTCACACCATTCTCTGTAAACCCTAGAAATGGTTGTGCGTGAAAATCCAAGTAACTGAGCAGATTGTGAAATACTCAGACCGGCCCGTCTGACACCAACAACCATGCCACGCTCAAAAATGCTTAAATCACCTTTCTTTCCCATTCTGACATTCAGATTGTCTTGACCAGGACCACACCCCTAAATGCATTGAAGCAACTGCCATGTGATTGGTTGATTAGATAATTACATTAATGAGAAATTCAACAGGTGTTCCTAATAATCCTTTAAGTGAGTGTATATTCATTGCTGTTAAACATAAACGAACAGCTATAAATACTTGAATGTGAATGAGTCCATGAGTCTAATTGCTCCAGGATGTGCATACGCGCTTTTGCGTTCTATGATGGCTTTAATAGTTTTGTACTATAAAAGGTTTGCTATACAGCCTATTTATTTGTAGAATATCTAAGTTACACCGTTCAAGGCTGCTTAATATCATGCATAATAACAAAATGAATGTGAATTTAAATAACAATAACGGATTTGTCTGCATGGCTGTGTTCTCCCTAAAGCCAAGCATGTCTGTACAAGAGGAACTGGATCATTTTGGGAGCATTTCAGGATAAATTGAACTTGACAGCTAAGCTTGTCACACAGAGAGGAAACTAAAGGTTTGATCACAGAACAAATACTAAAAACATGTGCGCCCCCTTTAGACTAAACCAACAAACTGCAATCATTCTATCAGCAAGAAAAAATGCATGATACAAGCACATATCTCATTGGAGAACAGGTCAAAAGAAAAAAAGAAACGACCCCAAAATCAAAAGAAAAAGATATACCTATTTCAAGATTTTTATCGTTGTGATTATCACAATTAAAATAAATTATCCCCCAGATTCCCATTATTATAATTTAAAAAAATGCTTGTTACCATAATACCAAAAACCTTCATTAGTTTTAATATTTAAAATGCATTTTACAAATATTTATAAATTATTTCTTTTCCCAGTCATAACAATATTGAACATTGGAAAATCTGCTTAATTATCATGAAAATAATGTCAATGCAAACAATGCTAAAAACTCCAAAAAAGGCTACATTTTTACTATACAAAATGTATTTTAAATATAATTTTTATAAAATATATTTATTTATGTACGTTTATACAATTTTTCATTTATTTATTAATAATATGACCTGGACATTTCTTGACAAAAATTCCCTCACAAACTTCCTTAACCAATCCACGTGTAGAGTGCGATTGTGTGCGTCTCACCGCCTCCTGGATCTCACAGCGGAAGACGTGGATGCGGAAGATCTCGGAGTTGTAGTGGCTCTCGGTGAAGGCGAAGCAGTCGCTCTCCGGCGTGCCGTCATGTCCGCGGACACAAAAGAGGATCTTATAAATGGGGTAGTTGGCAATCTCAGTGCTGGTCTGAGGGTCCAGCAGCCTGATGGAATATTCAAGAGCAAGATGCTTTGATGGATCATCTCTTGCCGGTGTTTAAACCAATATTTCTCCAGCTATCTTCACAACGTACCTGACGGTGCCCTCTGAGACTCCGGGCACGGAGAGGGTGACGTCCAGGGGCATCTGGCACTGGCTGCGGAGGATGCTGACCATACGCAGGGCCTCCACTTCACTGCGCGGGGCGTTCACTGATGCGCAGCCTAAATACGTCAGCTTACTGAACACCACGCTGTCCTCGTCCGGGACAGGGGTACCAGGACTCGAGTCAGAGGGCTCATCTACAGGAAGTGATGGGCGGAGAGAGATGGAATCAATCAGAAGACTCTAAATGAAACTTTTACAATGTCAACGTTTTGGACACACTTTCTCATAATCTTAAAAACCTTTTAATCTGGATGTTTCTGCTTAAATGTTTAAAATTATGTTTGTACGCCAAAATAAATAGTGCCTACATATTTATTCGTCATAACTACAATTAAGCAGGTATACTGTATATGCACCTCGATAAATGACCAGCAGATGGCACAACCTGCATATGCATCACACTGACTCTACTATTCTCTGTATGACAAAAAACATGACAATATTTTTCAATAATATTGGCTATCTTTGAATTTTCTGAACACACACACACACACACACACAAAAAATGGCTTTGAAATGTGGTATCACAAGTGATAACAGACTTGGTTGTGAACAGGGATGTAAAATCACCATGAAATCAAAATGTACCCCATTTAATTCCTTAGAAGTAAAATGGATGGTAAACACCATGTACTAATTTCACTCTAGTTTCCAGATGGTCTGTACAGTAGCAGGGAGATTTTTGTATGTTTTACCCCTGTAAGATCTCTCGTTGAGTTCGCTCTCCTGAGCTCCCTGAACGGGCAGCACTATCTGAAGTTTAGGGGGCATTGGGCCGGACCGTGATGGCGCAGCTGTAGTGGGATAGCCGTGGTCACCCCCTATCAGTTGGTCCGGTCCGCCCACCAGTTCAGTAACCGAAGGGTCCATCAGCACATCTTCCAGCTCCTGCTGTAACTCCTGCTCACTGCCGTTCCCCACGATCTGAACACACACACAGACCCATCAGTACAGTCATTCCACGACTCATCTGAAACACATAGGCTCAATAGGATGAACAGACTGGACAGTACCAGGCCATGAAGATTAATCAGTGGAAACGGCATATTCAACATTTTGTGAATAAAAACAAGGCTGTGAGGGACAAACATGTATGTTGTACTGTCAGAAGGTTGTAGTCATTTTCACATAACCCACTGAACAGACTGTACGACTATCCCTCACAGCCTTGTTTTCATTTGAAAAAAATTAAATATGGTCTCTACCGCGACTAACACCAGTTACACCACAGTGTCAGGAAGTGACAAAGCAAACCTTCTAAAACCATTTGTCCTGTTGTAGCGCAAGCAAATAGAGTACGTAAGAAATAAACCGGGCATCAGTTTCCTGTCGGTGACTTGTCACGTCACACCGCGCTGCATCCAGTGTAGACAGAATCACTGATTGTAATGCTTTCTATCTGCGTTTGTCACTTGCTCCACTCGTGTTCAGTGTGTAAAGCCTATTAGCTGAACATTAGGGGGTTTCAATTTAACATTATTTTAATGCAGTTAATTATAATAAAAAAAAGGAAGGCAATTAAATTAATTAAACCCTCTGACCTGACCTGAGGGGTTTCTAGGATGCATTTTTAAAGGTGAATTACTAAGTTTGAAAAACAGTATAAAGGGTTGTGAGTCTGAATGTGCACATTTAAGGCACCAATATAATCACGGTTAAGTTCTTTTTTTCGTTCTTCACTTAGGGGTAAATAGAAGTTTGAGATACCTGAGCAGCACTATACTTTCAAGGAACATCCTGACACGGGCCACTTTAGATGAATACCGGTATGTAAATATGCTCAAGTTCAAGACCTCGACGGACTGAACAGAAGAAATGAACCGAAGAAGATTTTCACTAGTGATAGGTGGGTCATGAACGATTCGTTCATTTTGAACGAATCTTTAATCGGACTCGGGACCACCGAGTTGTCTCAGAGAGTGATTCGTGTGTTGACCTCGCATGCGCAACATCCAATAGGTTCTGTACTGGAAACAGAAATGATTAGTTCATCTCTCGAGTCTTCGGGTCCGAGTCTTTCGTTCTTCCTGTCAGTCCCATATGCTATGCTGTCAGTACCGGAAAGAGACATGATTAGTTCACCTCCCGAGTCTTCGGATCTGATTCTTTTGAGTCTTTCGTTCTTCTGTCACGTGATTAACAAATGATTCTGACGAATGATTCTGTACCGGAAACAATTCTGTTTCCGGTACTACAGACTGCATAGCTTCTGTTTCTCATAATTTGGCCTTTTCCTTGCATTGCAATTTTTTTCTTATTCTAAATGCGATCAACATTTGATGTGTTTGGGGAATTTGGCTAACATGTAACATTTTAAATACATTCTGCTGAAATGAACGAAATGACTCGAAAAAAGATTCGTTCATTTTGATGAGTCAGTAAAAAGATCCGAACTCCCCATTACTTTCCACATCAATGGAAGCCTCAGAGCCACACCCACCTATTACATCATGGACCAATGGTAGCATGGACCGATGGTAGTTTGAAGGTGTTTACCACTCAGAGTCAACTTTTCTAGAAAGTTCATTTTCACAAGCTGTTTCTAACTCCTGAAAACAAACTTCGTTTTGGCCTGATTTTGTTTGAAATGATGTCACACCAGTTTATTCCTCAATTTCGCATGAAGTATATTGGGGCCGATATATGATTAATTGCAATTAATTCAATGCCATATGTAATTTATTTAATCTAAATGTGTAATTGATTGACAGCCCTATAAAAAACAAAAAATGAATGCGGTTTTCATTTCACATTGGATTTAAAATCGATACAATCAGAAAACGTTTTTTATTTGGTTTCACGTCAGGAAGTTTGTAAATCATCACATTTCTTCAGATTCCTGTTATTGTGATTAGCTGAAGAGACAGAGGGTGTGATTTGTGTTCATTACAGCCAGGATGACGGCGACTGAAAGGAAAGATCTCTGAACAAGCAAGAATTGCATATGCCAATGCCAGGAAGTTCAGCGAGAGCAGATGATTTGGCAAGTGACCTCCACGGAAAAACTTAAAATATGCATATCTGTCAAATGCGTTCAGTTTTCTTTAAAAATTGCTAAGTGTGACAAAAGAGATTTAGCATACAAGCCAGGGGTATCTACCACAGACTGCTGTACACTGTTGGGACTAAATGGCAACTGGGCTAAGAGGCCTGGAATGGGGTAAACAGTGAAAGCACCAGACACAAAACAACAGCCAATAAACATTCTACTGAGCACTGCACAATCACATTATCATAGTCCCGCTTATATCCCACACGCTGCTGCTGTACAGGCCAGTGAAGCCGCCAATCAGAAACCAGGCACAAAGACACAGTATCACCACAGAGAAAGAGAGAGAGGAGTAGATAAAGACTGACCTTAAAGCTGACCCCTTCCTCAGAAATCACCTGTGTAACAAACAGAGTGTTTAAGAGATGCCCACAGGGGTGAGAGAATGGTGATAAATGGGTTATCTGAGAGAGAACGTTCTCCACATCATGACCGACAGACTATAAAAGAGAATGACAACCAGAAGAAACGTCTTCGCTTTTACCCCTGCCACAGTAGAAAAGGAACATTGCTACATAAAAAGTGATGATGCCCTCTTGTGGCAATGGCAAGAGTTTCAGCCAAGTTTACCCACCCTCATGTCATTCCAAAGCAATTTGACTTCTCTTTCTACCAAGAAACACACACACACACAAAATGATTTTGAAGAATACCCACACTGCTCTTTTCCATGCATTTTAAGTAACTATTTCTAGGTAGAGTTGTTTTTTTGTTTGTTTTTTATGGAAAAAATAATTACTGTAAATGTTGAAGAGCTAATTTTGGGTGAACCATTCCTTAAATACTGAATGTGACAAATGAAGACAAGCACAACAGGAAAAAGAACAACATTTTAAAAGTTGGCTGGTCCATAGCCATGATGATCAAATGCAAATATGATAGAACAGACTTGAAATAAACAAATCCATTACAGCAGAAGGCAAAAGAGTGACGGTGCAATGAACACACAAGCATTATGACCGCAAGATCTGAAAAGAGGGAAGACTGGAGCACCGTAGTTGAATTCTGGTCCATGAATGAATGAGACCTGTATGGATGTGGGCCACCATGACACTATGGAATTAAGGAATTGAACATTTGTGAAAGTGCATGTGGAGAAAGTGAGAGGTGGCCAAAGAACACACTATAGTGCCGTCACATCAGATCAGTGGATTAGGAGTTTGGAAAAAAATCAAAAGAGATACTGGAGAACTGGACATAAATCTCGGCAGCACTCATGTGGTGTGGTGTGGCGCAATGTGGGAAATGGAGTCAGGGCACAGGCTAAGCAGAAAAGCAAAACATGGAATGAGGGTGACAAAATCTCATCAGCACCTTTGAACTAGACAGGTGATGCAAACTTTACTGGCCAATTACCTTAATGCGGTGATTCTTCAATCAGGGGAGCTTTTCTGTCCCCTAAGATGATTTAAAAAATCATACTAGTTCTAAGGATAGTTAATAGTGGTCGACCGATATATCGGCATTTTTTTAAATATCGGCATCGGCCGATAAGCTGATTGGCCGATGTGTTGTAAGCAGGACTTTTATTTTGACGGGCGGCGATGAGAACGGCAGCGCCTGAGAAGAGAACGGCAGCGCCTGATCACACAGCGCTCACTCCCATTCTCCGTCTTCATTAGTTTACGATCTCTGTCAGTCATATCTAATACTTTGTTAGACAGAACTGGTAAACAAAGAAAGTAAATGGTATGCGAAAAGGTAAAGTGTTTGCTTTGATATTATTTGTAACAGAAAGGGCAAACAATCAGGCTAAAATACTTTCTCATTTACCGTCAACGTTCAGCAAATGCGCATCTACATCATTTAAACAAACCTCTGAATATCTAATAAACATTTAATTTCACAAACCTTGCAGATTTAATCGAATCCAGCTGTGATCTTGTGAAGTGTGCATTATCCCTTTTTCAATTAAATTGTTAAAAGATGAATGATGTGTATATATGTGTATGTATATGTATGTGTATGTATGTGTGTGTATAGGAATTGTTATTTATTATAATACTAGTGATTTTAATGTATGCATTTCAATGTTTCAATGTCAATGTAAACACCTTGAGTCCAACACAAATTTCCCCTTTGGGGACAATAAAGTGTATTTCATTCATTCATTCATTCATTCATTGTAGCCGGCATAAACGAGTTCCTGCGAAAGACGGTCGGTCCGTGTGAAGTGAGTGAATGCGAACAGAAGATCAGCTTCACAGGAGACGCGATCGAAAAACTTAAAATCATTCATTTTAAAATATTCTGTGCTATATCCAGTTGCCCACTGTGTCATATTCATATCGTTTTCACTGTGTGCTGTATGGAAATTAGCGTTATCTTGTCTTTATTTGAAAAAATCTGATTAGCCTATCAGTGCGCACGAAATTACCAGATTACTGAGTGTCCTGTTACAGTGTTTACTTCCTTTTTATTCACATATTCATATATTTTTAAACAATTACTTTATTTGTGCAGAATACTGTAATAGGATTGCAGATTCAAGAAGTTGCCATCTAAAGTATAAGCATGTTTACTTTAGCATGTGCGAACACAAAGAAAATCATAGACATGATTCATAAAGGTTAAGTGGGCTTGAAAAAAATAGTCACACAGTCAATAAATGGCCGCAATGGAAATGAATGGGAGATGAAATTCGTCAAGTGGAAACCTTTGGTACTGCGGCCAAAACAAAATCTGACTGAAAGCCAATTTGTTGAGATATCAAGCTCAAATTTAGAACACAGCTCGTTTAGAATTATGATTTTGATTTTCTTGCAGTTTTAGAGTAAAATGTGTTTTTAAAAATATATATTTCATATAAAAATTGAAAATAGCATTTATGTGCATTTTTCATAACAATAAATGTAAAATTCTGTAACTTTAAGTTCACTTTTTAAAACTTTTTTCATTTCAGCAAACATCTGCCAAGTGTCATCTTAGAAAAAAGATCAAACTTAAGTCTGTGCTCTAAAGCATTCAAGATTTACGACAGTTTAAGTTGGAAATTTCATTTTCATGCTCAAAAAGTGAATAAATGGATAATGACTACAGCATAATTTAGCACCATAAAATCCCCTAAAAATAAAAAAACGTAAATAAAAAACATTATCGAACTAAAATATAGTACATATTGCATTGAAATAAAATAAATTGACTGACACCCGAAGAGCACCAGAGGTTAAGAGTGTCGAAGTGTTACAGTTTTCTATAATCTCTCTACTTTAGGCTCGTCCCCCATTCAGACATTTATTTTATAAAGTTGTTTGATAAATGTGATAAAGTGTTGTTAAATCATGTTACAATTTTTCAAAGAACTTAAAAAAATTTATTCATTTACTGATTTGGTGAAAAATCCCCAATACTGATACTGATGTCATTTCCATCACACCAAGCAACCCTTAATTGAAGAATCACACATCAATAGTTCCCAAAGCAGAAGATCTCCCTCTCCATTCTCTGTCTACTCTTACCTTCAGTCCTGTCTTTTCATCATCGCTACCATTATTAGTGGAGGGGGTGTCATCCCCCAGGCGGGACACCAGGACAAAGTCCTCACTGTTGAGGGTGGACACAGAGTCGGAGGACACGCTAATTTTCCCCACCGAGGCCTTGTCATCCATGACTGCTAAATCAAGCCAGACGCGCTCATGAATGGCGGTTTAATGAGCAAAATTACCTGGAAAACAAAGAGATGAAAAAGCAATGAGGAAAGGAAAAAAAAAACATGAGAGGAGCTTGAACTACAAATAAAGTTTGTTGTTCTTCACGCTTCAAGTTTCAATCATCTCAAACTGTTCTACAAATGGCAGCATTCCCATGCAAAGCTATTTATGGACACATGGTGTCTGCAAAGCAAATTAAACTCAATCTTTACAAAAAGGCTGGCTAAAGGCAGAGATGTGTGCGAGGAAAATATTGTAAAACGATAAAGGAATGGCAGATAAAGTTTGGTAAATGGAAATAGGTACTCATATTATGGGGATACAGCAAGGGTCCAAAACGGACAGTCACCAAACCAACCAGCAAGAAAATAAAATCACCTGTTCATTTTATTAGAAACTGCAGCGCTATACGTGTGTTTAGTCAAACTTGTAAGTGATTTGTATTATTAATTTTTTTTTTTAAATACCCAAAGTGTTTGTTTTTTTTGCATTATTTTCATGGCAATTATTTCCCACATTATTATTACAATAAATGTATGTAACTATCATTATTCTCAATGATATGTCATTATATACATTCATTACTGTAAGAGTACATTTTGCTTTATTATACTCATATTACATGTATGAAACAATGTAATACAATTTTTGTAACAAATGCTATAAGTATAAGCAAGAGCATTTTCTGTCTTGTATAGTCATGTTAATTTATTATTATTTGTCTACAGTATTTATTAATTGTGAATTAGCTGTCATTTTATTTTTATAATTTGTATTTTAGTTCAGTCAGGAAAAGAATGATTCAATGATGCAAACAGAATTCAATTCTGCTGTAAAGAAGCTCTAATGTTTGACATCCTGCTAGCCATATATGATACAGTTGGCATAGTTTTTAGTTTTTATTATTCAAGCTGTCATTCGCCGGCAGGCAAGGGTGTACATATTCAGATGAAAACTTCATCACACGATGGAACAGATGTCACTGTGTATCGCTGCAAACATTAGCAAACGGACCTTTGCTTTGACTATGAAGATATTCCTGTTTTCACCTCCCATACGACAGCGTTGTTAACCCATCCAGTCTTGAAAAAAAGACAGCTATCTGTACTTTTGTAGGCTTTCATTTTTTTTGTGCGGTGTAAGGTGACGGATTCTCTATAAGATATGTAAATATCTGCAAACTCCAAGTCTGGTAGAGACTTTGCCTGCTTCAAAGCAATGAAAACATCAGCGGGTGCTGTGTATGGATCACACGTTCCGAGTATGTTAATCTTTTCTTGATATCTAATTTTAACATTCGGTGACATAGGGTCTAAATAGTTAATTGATTGTAGTATTGGAAATTTGCAAGGCTGCAATTCCCCTGGCTGGCCACTGTTTGTCAGCGTTTGTTGCCCGCCAGGTATCCATGGTAGTCACGTGACTGCAAAGCGTGAATAGTGTCGGTGAAGTCAAATCAATAATATTGCTGCATATTAAGTGTCCCCAACTAAGCAAGCCAAAGACGACAGTGACAAGGAACCCAAACTCCATCCGGTGACTGAAATGGAGAAAAAAACCCTTTGGTATTAGTGATATTATCTCATTAACATGAGCCAGTTTTCCTAAAAAATAAAGATTTTTAACCGTGTATATCTTGGCAAATGTTTATTAGTCAATGTTAGGATGGAAATAGTGGTGGCTCCGTTCTACAGCACACAAAATGCAAAAATCTCCAATGTTATCTCCACGGCAACAGTCAAATGACAAACAAAGTGGTTGCTGCTGTGGATTGTAAACTGTGACGCCGCCCGACGCCAAGTGCTGTTTACATTACCACGCATGTGACCGGGTACAAAACACTGTCAAAACAAACGCAAGATCTAATATTGACCTTATCGTTATGCAAACTTTTTAAACTCCAAAAACATAGCAGCAAACTTTACAGTTCAACTGCAAAAGAAGAGAAGGCTGATGAAAAAACAGTTGTGTTTCTGAGAGCTGTACCTGTGTGTGTATCTGGACAAGCGGAGAGGGTTTGGCAGAGGGTCAGCGCTGAACTATATTTGGATATGGAAGGGAAATTATGGGACCGTACAGGTCCAGACATGAAAACACGAACAAAAGCATCTGCGCCATTTGGAGGAAGTGTCGAAGAATGAGCAGAACCTCTGTGTGATTTACACAGACACACATACAATGTGCTCCAATGTGATACAATCCCAGAAGTCCTGCACAAAGGGGATATTGAAACAAATTCGAGTCATAACAGTGAGTTACGGGCCTGTGACAAGTGTTTCAAGATCTGCAGATAACAGTCAGTTCTCCTGGAGACATTCGATGAGAATCTCAGAGAACCGGGAGAGACTCAGAGACTGTTTTTCAAAGATGGCTCCTGCCTGTATCCGCGAAGTGGACGGTCTTTATAAAGTATCTTCTTATTAAACTGTCTGGACTCTGACAAAGTTCTCAATGCTTCGGTTTGCATGTAGGGACCCTCATTATGCTACCGTGCTAGTGTGGGGCTATTTTGAGCCTTGTTAGTGGTATTAACTAGCGATTTTTATTTGCCATTACTCTATGCCCAATATACTAGCGTTATAGGCTAAACCGTTTTTAGAGATAGAAACTCTTTACATTCGATAATCATGAAAACAAATCTCAGAGAACGGTTGACTAGGTAACAATGTGTAATTAGACCAAAGGTTCATTTTGCGCCGGAGTTCTCCTTTAAGTTCTCATATTAAAACCTGTTATATCTTTTTTTGTGAAATGTATCTTTGGTAGGTGGTGGACACCAATTTTGTTTGTGAATATACCTGTTTTCTCCTGTTTATTAGACAGTAAGGGAGTAAGGGAAGTGTATTTTATATTGGTTTTCTTATCTTTTCTAGGTAAGTTAGGATATTTCTAACCCCCTTCTATAGGAAGATTGATCTTTTGTTTGTTCTTTTGACCTTGTTCCCTTCCCAAAGCTTTATGTTATCCCCACTTGATTTTAAAACATTTAGCCTAATTTATGTAAACTAAAATAGAAAGAATCTACTTTTTTTTTCCGCTAAGCTCTCATGGACTTGTTTGTTGAACTGGGACCTGGAAATGGGAGTGTTTCTGTGTTCTCTCCTTAACTTTTTGTTACCTGCCTTCTTTTACCCCTAGACTTTTAAGAGGGCTCGTAACAGTGTCCATTTAATGCAGTTAAACTATTAATGTTTGAACTTGAAATGTTAACAAATATGTCCAAAAATAGAAAAACTTATATTACTATTTTATGTGAGCTTTTGCATAAACTAATGTTGAGAAAAATATCCTTATTGTAAAGTGTCACCAAAAAAAAATGTTGGTTTTTGTATTGTAAAAGTTAGAACATTTGTTTACTGGAAGTTGACAGCAAAGCTTTTTTTTCTTCTTATATATATAAATATATAGGCTGTAAACTGCAAATGTAATATATTGTTAGTGATGAATGTGGAAAAATAAAAATCCGTTCTTTGAAGCCAGGAGGTTTTTGGGCACACCTGTTTTGACAGTTATACTCAGTAGGAAACTAAAGAGATCCACCCATTTTACCTAACCAAAGTCAAAGAAATGTTTGAAAAATGTTACTTCAAATGTATTAAGAACAAATACACTAATTACAAGCATACAATCTAAAAGGGCTAACAGTAGTATTCAGGTACAGAAATGTAATAATTAAATGTAAAATAACACTGTAAATTAAATATAGATCAATCTTTGCTAAAGTTGTTTTGTTGTTTGAATAACTTGAAATAGACAGCAGCAGGTGTTATAGGCTGCTGTCACTTTAAGACAGAATGCACTGATCCCAATATAATGATATCTGATTTCTTTCTCAACTGTTTACGTTCACTTAAGACAACCGACTGCGTTTCCGAGAATACTTGCAGAGATGGATATTTTGCCAACAAAAATCACAAAGAGACGCGAAAGAGGAATCAATTCGTTGTTAGCACACAATCTGAAACGCGGTTCTCTGTTTGTACGGCTGTGTGCACAGATAACAGCGCACAAGTTCTCTTTCGCTTCCTTCTTGCGCTGGAATGGTTTAAAATCACTCAAATGTGTAAACTGTCAAGACAAAACATGTGCAAATCAATGATAAACTAAGTCTATGATGGTTAAACTTAAATTATTCTGCTAATCACATGCGTGCCGAACCGTGTGGCTTGGCCTGTAAAGATCACAGTTCAATCCGTTTCACCCTTAAACACAACATTATCACAATATCTCAATACCATTAGCTCTGCCACAAAACGTAGTGACCATCTAGACAACATTTCAGTCCAGCGGTGAGGCCAGAAATTACAACCCAGAACCTGAATGTAGCAAAATGTAGCAGGAGAGACGTGAGTTGATTCACAGGTCAGTGGGTTCAGCCTGCAGGGATACTGTAAGAGAGGATATTGAATGGCAGGTTGTCCCTTTGTGAACGAGCTTTGGTCTTCCTGACTGGACACATTATGCTCTGTCCTAATGGAGACCAGGCTCAGTGCTTCACCCTGGGGAGCAATGACCAGAAACCAGCAGTACACAAGCCTCAAAGAGCTCCTACAAAGAGTCGTGTGGATTTGTGCTACTGGTTAAGATAGAAGAGTGGCTCCTTACACACACAGACTAACAGCCAGACGACTAACTTCATAGCCATGTTCGCTGATATCTGCATGGATTCGTGTGGAGCAGACACACAGGATGCTCCTTCACACTGATGCTCTGTTCTCGCGCTGTTATAATGGATGCCTTGTCTGTCTTCCCTTCTCTCTCTCTGCCTCAGGACGCAACAGCCAAATGAGGAGTGAAACACAATATGGTGTTTTAGACTCTCTTGGGGCGAAACAAAAAGGAAAAAGAGGAGGAGAGATAAACAGAGGCAAATTGATGCACAGAGAGAGAGAGGTGGACTGACTGAGGCAGAGAGACCAGCTGAATAAGGCAGAGAGAAACAGACAAGCGGACTGAGGGAGGGAGAGAGAAGCGAAATTAAGCAGAGAGAGACTGAGATCCAGGCTCTGACTAC